TTACATCCTGATTCTTCATACACTTGAATAAGACTAAAGACTGTAGAAGTGAAAAGTAATTTATGTCTTAAGGCACCTCTAGTGGCTGTCTGATCTCACCACCCACTCAAGGCAGGTGAGACTCTGAATTTGGGTCAGACTGCCCAGACCTGTGTCCCATTGAGCTCTAAGTATGTCTGTGGTTCCCAGCCTCTCAGGTCAAACTGCACCACTGGAATTTCCCTTGCTGCAGCTCATGTTGTTTGCTAATCGCTTTTGCTGCATAGCTTTCCAAAATTTCTGAATTCCCAATCAACAGTTAGATAGATGACAATGGTAATTGAACCCTTTGCTTAATCTCTAATCTGCACAAACCTGATTTGCTTAGCCACTGCTGTTACATTGCTCTTCTGTTACCATTATTTTGGTGCCACTTTTTCCAGTTGTGAATGCCTTTCTTGTACTGGTGGGTCCAAACTGAACACAAATACTAAACCTGGTACTGGATACATTTATTGCAGTAATTCTGTACAAGAGAAATTGATAACAGGAATGAAAAAAAAAAAAAAAAGCAAGAATAAAATTTATAATTATTTTTCCTTTCACTGTTAAATTGCATGCTATTTGCCACAATATAGAAATTGTGTCATAACCTATGATGTAATTAGATATTACATTTATTATGAGATTCTGTATCTGCATAAAGAACCATGGAATTGAGATGAAAGGGACTGAGAAAAATGTTAAGCAGATTAAGAATATTTTGGTTTAGAAAATATGTGCATATATTAAGTAAATTTCCATTCTTATACAGTATTTAGAATTGTCTATGTTGGATCTGTTCTATCATAGCTATGGAGCTAGAAGGAATGAAAGAGTGGATATTGCTGCATATTTACTTCTGTACAGAGTTTGAGCATCAGCTGCTATACTGGCAACAGGAAGCAAGGATGAACAACAGAAAATAAGAAGGAGGTAGCTCCACTGCTTATCTTTCCTCTTCCTTCAAGCATATTTTTTAGGTAGAGCCAGCAAAACCATACTGTGAGGTTCTCAGTTCTTTAGATATATTAATGCCGCTTATTCTGGACGCCATCTACGTTTTAGTTACTCCTCTAGCTATTTAGTGGATCCCCAAATGGATTGAGAAAGAGACAAACAGCATATTTTCCCTCTGGCATTAATCCTGGAAATTCCCAGAAGTGTAGACTCCAGCTATGCTAGAATTTTTGATGAGAGAGGAATTAGTTTTGAGAAATGAAGAGCTCACTGAGTGAATGGCTTTGGATCACAATGTTAGGCTGAGATCTCAAAAATTCTCTCTTATCCTATTTTATGGAGTTAAATCCATTTATGTATCTGGCATTAAAAGCATAAATAGAAGCAGAAATTTTAATTTCGAAGAAGATGGTCTTCATTGTTTCAGTCTGTTTATATTACAACAACACAGTCCTAATTTCTTCCATTGCCACCCTGTAAATGATGAGCAAGTCACATGAAACTCAATCTGAAGTAAACTAAGAATAATCTGAAGACAAACTTTGAGGCTGCTGCCTAAACCTCTTACTTCTATCTCATAAAAAGTGAAACAATTTTCTAACAGTAATATACATACTTATGCATATACATGAATAAATAGATATATTCATATAAAAATTGAAAACTTTAGGCACTTTTCTCTGCAACTTTTTAATAAATGCCTGCTATTAGTTCTGTTCTAGAAGATCCTAAATTGCTATAAAAATTCCAACAATTTTCAAACAGTGAGCACAGACTTTTTCCAGGTTGTCTGTGATAATGGATGGGTAACATTAAACACATGTAGATCATTAAAGTATCTAATTGAAGCTATCCCTTTGAAATATATTGTCTGCTTTTTCATTGAGTTCACAGAATCATGTCTCTTTCTAATGCAGGTACCAAAAAAAACTCTGAGTGTTTATTCAAGGAAAAAAGTATTACTGTGTGTTGTAGTATTTATTTATTTAGACAGTGCTTCTGTTATTTTGCTAGGATCTTAGGACATTTTCTAAAAACATTCTCTCTAGAAAAGCCAGCAGAAATGGAAGTTTAGGATGATTTGCTGTGGAGGTTCTTAAAAAGACTGTACTTAAAAAATTCAAAGAACGAAAGAAGACTCAAATGACACATGCACAACCAAGAAATGTTATGAAAATTTTTCATTTGATCAAATGTTAATTAGCTCATTGAGCAATTATTTAAAATTGGGCAGTATCCACTAGAATAAGTAAATAATCCAAGTGGTTGAAAGGGAGAGGTTTAGGAGTAATATTGACTGAAATACTCAGTTGCTAAATATGTAAAGAGAAATCTTTCAGGGAATTGTCACCATTTCTATCTGACAATCACTTGCTAAAAACTGGATTTTTCTGCTGGCTATATAATTTCCTGTTTTTCCTGGAAAATGTGCTTTATGGCAGTGTGATCCCACACTGTTCTCTGCAGGATTGAACGTAGAAGACAGAAATGGCCTGTGTGTTTTTTGTGATTTCAATATTCAGTGAAATCCCAGGGTTATGCTATACCCCATTCAGGAACGCATCGACATCCATCACTTCAGAGCCAGCCTCCCTTACCTCCTGGCTCTTGGAAAAAAAACATTCTGCTCAGCTCCTGAAAATCCTTGGCCTAAAAGTGCTGGCATTATTGGCCACTTTGAGCCTGCTCATCTGTCTTTTACCAGTCCTTTGCCATTTTAATGAATTATAATCAGAATGTTAGTACGAAATTTATTTAAAAAAATGTTTTGGTTCTAGTATTAAAAATATTACTCTTTCATAATAATATTTGCAAGAAATTCCTTGAAGTTTTTCTGATGGATTGTATTTGATTTAAATATGTCATTGCTAGCCATGTAACCAAGTAACTTCTCTTAGAATAACTACCCATACCTCAAATTTAGAGAGATGTTTTTCCAAGGTCAGTAGAAATTTTTGCACGAGAACAGAAAATTAAGGGAGATCAATAGTTGCATTACAATATATATATTCTAATCAAGTGGAGATACCTTCTGGGAAGTTGCTGAGAACCTTTTTTTGAAAGTGAGGTGTCAAAACAGAACAGAATTTTGAAAGTGAAAACATAAAATCTGTTTTCATTCAATCTTTGAGAAATGCACATTTCATCACATACATTATGTATTATCATTTCCATTACTTAAATTTTACATGGGAAATATTACAGCTTGAGCTTAAATATATTGACGTTTAAATCAGTTAGCAGTAAAGTAATTAAAAATATTTTAAGTTTATAACAGCTTAAAATAAAGATGTGTTGTCTTTTCATAGACTGTGCTTTGGTTGAGAATAGGACATGGTCAATGCTCAAATGAGTGCTCAATGAAGTAAATGTTGCTTGCAAGGAGCAGCATCAGAAAGTGCTGTGGACATTCCATATATTTAAATCATACGAACATCTAAAACTTGATTAATTCCTCCCAAGACTGACATATAAAATATGATGAAACTGTGTGCTCCTGCCTTAAGAAGGAACATGAAATGCAAGGCTGAGCTGGAATATGCAACTATTCATGTAAAATTGATGCTAAATAAAATATTACTGTAAATTACATAATAATTTGAAAATTTGTGTGATGACTAGGGAATAAATATATGGCCTTTATTCATGTTCAGTGTTTCTCATTGCTTGTTGAAAATAGGTTTCCAGGCTTGGTAAAATGTAAAGGGAAGCTATTTGACATTTTCAAATTCAAAACTAGGCTTCTTGAATTTTATTTCATTACTTTGAAAGAGAAATTTATTTCAAATGTATTGACATGCACACACAAGAACAAATATTAAAACCTCAAATTAAATTTAAAATATTTGGGTTTTTTAGAATAATATTTTAAAAAATAAACAAATAAATCTGAACTCATTTTTTTATTTTAACTATTGGAACTCAAAGTGAACCTCAAATGCCTTTAGTCATGCAGCAGTGTGGGCAAGCTTTTCATCCAGACTTAGCTCAGCTTTGCTTTTTAAAGAAGTGTAATCTTACCATTTGACCAGAGATGAGCTCAAAGATGGTTTTAGCCATGAAAACTGTAATATACACCTCTGTAAGTGGTGTGTCTAGCAGATTGTACTTGAAATCTTAATTGCGAGAACCCAAGCATCAACAGAAAAGAAAAAGTTTGTTCCTTCCCTGACTTTTCTGTGTACAAGCAGCAAATAAAAATATTTTTTTAATAACATGAAGGTTATTCTTCTAAGTTTGCATAGTTAGATAATTAAAAGTGAAGAGTAAAAAAAAAAAGGTAAAGTTTAAAGAAAATGAAAATTTATGGTGAATATATATCTACATTAACCTGTCAAAACTACAGTAGAATAACACTTTTAATAGTCTATTTAATAATATGCATCCAGGAAGTTGGGATATCCAGGCTATACATGCAAGTTCATCTTTGCTTTCTCATATTATTATGTAATGTATGATCAGAATCTACTCAATTAAAGATGCTGTGGAGAAATAACTTTAAATGAAAAACAATGCATTCAGAAGCTGCAACTTTCAGAAATTTTTGCAACTTTTATTTTTAAACTTCCACAATTCCCTAGGCAAGGCTTACCTAAATTAGTGATAGATATTAATATAACACAGGAAGATTTTTTTCTCCCAAATTGATTGAAAGACATAAATGTTTAACACATTTTCCCAACAAATGGTGGGGGATTCAGGTTTTAATACATTAATCTATTTGCAAAGGTACCTTCCCCATTGGTTCATGGGATGCTTTACTTTTAGTGCTGTGGAGTGTATTTTTCATGATCAAAGGTGTGTTGATTATTGTGCTGTTTGCAAGGAAGTCATCAACTGCTTTCAGTGATGGTTTGCAGTGACAAGGATTGCAGTAGCTTCACTTCCCTTTGGAACAGTGTGACTGATGCTAACTCAAGGAGAACATGGAATCATCTAATGACTTTCATAGTGTCTATTTCTTTCATCTTCTTAAAACAATGGGAATGGTACTGATTGTGTAACCTTATCTCCTGTCTCAGGTCTCCTAGAAATCCTGAACAGAAGATCATTAAACGAGTGATTGCTCTTGAAGGAGACATTATTAAGTAAGTATTTTAAGCCTTAGTCTCAGAGTCTTTATAGGAATGGTTCAGCTTTTTTAATGTATTTTAAATCAGTATCCTAGACAACGAGTAATTTCTAGCATTTTCTGTCTGTTATTAACAAGGATGTCAGCATTGTACCTGTCTGTTTTTTAATGAGAGGAGAAATGTTACACAAAACTACTCGCTCTCTTGTGAAATGTGCATGGATACAAATAATGCTTGTTACTGAGAATATCTCTGCCACAAATCGAGGCAGGTTATTGTACAGCAGTTTTCAATGAGATTACAGGGCTATGATTTTTTATTTAGAAACTCCAGCTGCTGTTTTGCATTGTGGTGGGCAAGTAGGTTGCTTTTAGCCTTTTGTTTATTTATTTGTTTGTTTGTGGATCTCATCTTTGATATTTTATTTTATTTTATTTTATTTTATTTTATTTTATTTTATTTTATTTTATTTTATTTTATTTTATAGAAAAAAGAACCCTCATAGATTACTGTCTTCATTGTAGTTTGTAGGCATCTTTAGGGAATATGGTGCAACTGATTTTGAGTAAATTATTCTATCAGGAAAAAAACCCATTGTAGCAATAGTAGACTCTAGAGTACTTCAAGACTTGGTTTACTCTGACAGATAGAGCTTCCTACTGGGTCTGGGTGGAAATAAATTACCAGTAGGTGTAAATAAAAAGTTTTGTGGGAACAGTATTACTTTGAAGAAAATGCTTGCTTGAAAAGGTTTCTTTTTCCCAGGTACAGAGTGGAATAGGCATACAGGTGGGAGGGTAAATCCCTGGTTTCCCATTCTAAGATGTGAATGACCCTGGGAGATCTCAGACAATATGGCAGATTGTGACTCAATTAATTTAGATAATGATTGTTGCTCTGGTGTAGTGACTGCTTGAGAAGTACTTGACAGCTGCAATTCTAATCAAGGGTTTGAATTTGATCTCAGTGCACCCTTAGTTAATAGCATGGGCACTGTGAAATATGTCCACATATTTTTTTTTCTCTTGCAATCAGTATAGTTCCTGTTTTATTGAAAAAATCTGAATTATGTCAGTTTGAGAAACCGAAATAGATTGTTGCGTCTCTGTTGAAGCAAAATATCTAGAACAAAGGAGACAATTTGATGTCCATCTACAGCTAAAACAAGCTATCACTTTCAAGTGATAAAGACAGAGGAGTAGTGTGTGTACTGTCTTTTATTGACCTGTGTCCTTAAGAAGGTACTTACATTGCTGATATTAGTGCTGTGAGTCATATAATGATAAGAATATTATTCATGTTTCAGTATTCCTCATTCATTTCTGTGGCAATATCAGAAAGAGATTGCAATAAAAGGTAACTTCAAGGGCTACTTTACATTGTTCTATGTTATTAACATGTTTGCCTTAATTTTTGAAACTGAGTGTAGATTTTGATAAAAAAAGGAAATTTAATAACACAAATTCTAGCTTTAGGAAATTAACTCTGCTATACATTCAAACTCTTTAAGACTTGAAACTTTTCATTAACATTAGTGGGTGTTCCTGGCCAGATAGACAAAGGTGTGTGGCTCAAGTGCATTCAGAATACTGATGAGCCTGCAGGTTAGTGAATCACTCATGGACACAGAAGACTGTACAATGATCCTCAGTTTTCTGTGTAAACCTGGTTAGATTACTTTATTGATAGAAATACTGATAGAAATCTCAGAAGTTCAGATGTGCATTTTTTTTTTTAATTTGAAGATCAGTATGATTTTTAATTTTAATCAGTCGTCCCAGAGCTTTTTGCTGTGTGTCATGGTCTTGGCTGGGGTAGAGTTAATTTGCTTCCTGTAGCTGGTACAGTGCTGTGGTTTTTTGCTTTAGAATGAGAATTATGTCGATAACAAAGTGATGCTTCAGTTTTTGCTGGGTAGCGCTTACCCTAAGTCAAGGACTTTCCCATTTCCCATGCTTTGCCAGTGAGAAGGAGCACAATAATCCAGGGAGGAGCATGGCCAGGACAGCTGACCCAACTGGCCAAAGGGATATTCCATGCCCCAGAATGTCAAACTCAGTGTGTAAACTGCAGGGAGCTGGCTGGAGGGCACTGATCACTGCTTGGGGACGGGTGGTGAGCAATTTTATTGTGCATCACTCGCCATTCTGGAGATTTATTCCTCTCTCTTTTCAGTAATAACAACAACGATAACAGTAACAAAGATGGTAGAGTGAATATTATTGTATTCATTTCTGTTATTGCTATTAGCATTACATGTTATTTCCTCTCCATTACTAAGCTGCTGTTTCTCAAGCCATGAAGTTTACCTTTTGTTTCGAATTCCCCTCCCAGCCCCTGGCAGGGAAGGCTGGAGTGAACAAGTGGCTGTGTGGTATTTCCTTTCCAGCTGCAATTAAATCAGACAAGCAGTATTGCCATGGGCTGAGATAAGAAGAGTGATAGGCAATATGTTCTGTGATTCTGTAGTTGTGCTTTCATAGCTGAATGAATTATCTTCATTTGATCCATTTGGAGCATGACTAGGGATAATACTAGAGGGCTGTGTTTTCTCATGTTATCAATTAAATTAAGTTAATTAGCATTTTACTGTTTCTTAATTACTGAAAGTGATGAAAGATCAGACAGGCAGAGCCATTAGTGCCATAGGAAAGGTCCCTTATATTTTGACTTTACCTCAGGAGCTGACTCCATGGCAGAAAAATCCTGTTTTTCAAATCCTAATTCTAAAAGTATTTAATGAAATTAAAATTGTGGCATTTTAAAAGTAACAATGACTGACTTAGAGTTTTTGAAAAGGTGTGTAGGTGAAAAATCTATAATAGGTCCATTTTCACCTTTTATTTTCTATTTTTCAGGAAGTCAGACATTATACTACATAATAATTTACCTTTTGAAATATAATTTGAGGCATTGCAAAATGGTACAAATGCACTGAAATAAAAACACTGTCATTACAGTTTTCTATTCTTCTTTCCAGTCTAGTTGCTAGTGCAGGTGAAGTGAGTTTGGTAGTGTCTTGTAAATCACTAGAAGCATACAGTACATGCCACAAATCTGTAAAATATAATTTAATTTAGATAAGCTGGTACAACTTCCTCTTCAAAAGAATTCAAAGAATGGACAAAAAAATCCCCAGTTAGTCCTTGCGAATGAGTCTATAGGTCAGCTTGTATACAGACAATATTGCAAAGTGTAGCTCCATAGATCAGAATTTGTTTTGTTTTCCATGGACTCACAGGAGAATTAACTTTAAGTAGAAAATCGGTTCCTGAAAATTGTTTAAATGATAAGTCTTCCAGAGGAGGCCTTATTTTAAAAGTCAATATAATCTAATTTGTTAAAAATTAATGTTGGTATTATAAAACACTTGAAAAAACTTGAAATTAAACTTACTTATCTTAAATGCATTACTTGTAATTCAAAAATCTATAGTAATCTTTCACAGATGAGTTATGGTTTGTTTTCAGTAACAAAAATAAATGACGGTTAATGCAAAGGAAACCAAAATTGGTATTAAGCTAGTAAAATTTGAAATTAAGTCTATTCAGTATCTTGCTGAACTAATTTGTTTTCCTCCTGTCTGTCACTGTTCCACAGATCTTCAGGAGCTTGGTGTGCCTGTTCTTTTCATCTATTTGTTTGCTTCTTAATACGGTACTTGAGTTAAGAGTGATTAGTGAGCCTTTAGGAAGAGTAATTTTTTTTAAAAAAGGTTACGTCTGGCAATATTGTTAGGCTCTTCAGAGTTAGTGTTCTGAGCTGAATGCTTCAGGAAAATGTTGTGTGTGTTTACATGTTGCATCTTGCAAAATTGCTCTGAAGATATGAAAAAAGAAATACTCCTTGTTTCTCAAAGCATGACAATGCAGACATAGATCATTGCATTATTAAACTGTAGGTCTAAACCAACTTTTCAACAATAACTTTTCAACTTGTATTACAGGGCTTATAATTAAGTTGTAGAAACTATTGCCACAGGAAGTTAGGAAGGAAAGAGGTATAATGGGATTTGTAAAAGGGTAGAGAATTAATAGAAATAAAGCCCATCCATCAGTAGCTATTAAATGCAGCAATTATTTTATTAACATTATGTACTCCTGTTGACAAGTTCATGCAGGCTGTTATATTTTTTCCAATCAAAGATCCCATACTTCCTTAAATTATAAGTAAAATTTGGTCATTTTGTCTACTTATTGGAGAAAGCTTTCAGCTTCAAACTGTCATTACTCATTGCAGGTGTTTGGTTGCTTTTTTTTATTCTCAGAGAGTTGGTGTCAGTAGCATCACCCTTTAATGTGAACAAGACAATCATTAAGGAGTTTTTATTGTTTTGGAGCTTTTTTGTTTTACTGAATCAACTCAATTTTGTCAGATATTTGGCTGCCATTTTTTTTCCACTGAGGTCCAGGGATGATTTTCCCACAAAATAGCTGTCTCCACACAGAGACCATACTGCTGGATAACAGCTTGTATTATCAGGCACCAAAAATCTGTGCCTGCCTCTAGAAAGCAGAGCAGCCTTCAGAAAAACTCAGACTTTGCCAGTGTCAGAGCCCAAGAATATCTCTGCACATAACATCTTCAGGGCAATCACCTGGCAGGAATTACGTACAAACTTTTGCTATTTGATCATACAGAAGCAATTTATGTTCACTAGTGCTGTAGCAAGACTCTATTTGTTCGCTCTTTGCTTGCTGCCCCAGCACATAGGCCACTGGTAACTATTTTGGGGTACTGCTTATGTGATAAGGTACTGCTTGCAATGGCTCATATCTAGAATAGGAAAATGGATTATCAGTAAAACATATTAAAATCTAGAACATACAGTTAATGATGACGCACAGGGTATGCTTAGGGCTGTGTTCTATTCTATTTACCAAAGTCTGCTTTGTCTGTCTGGGTTATGAATATAAATCTGTGAGTGGTCAGATCAACATTGACAGGAGTGGTAGATCTGCAGAAGTGAGAACAGGTGGTACTCTACAGAGACACAGCAATATCCTCATAGATTA